TTTCTTTCTTTCTTTCTTTCTTTCTTTCTTTCTTTCTTCCATATGGGAGCTGAGGCTCAAGGCTTAAATAACTGGCTTGAGGTCATATCCAAGCTGAATGCTTTTTGTAAAACATGCCACCTGAGGTCCAGATGGGTCCATTTAATGGAAGTGTAGTGTGTGTCCTCGTGGTGTTCTAATGCACTGAGCTTCTGTTCATTTTCTCTCCTCTGTCCAGCTCTACCTTCAGGCCCGCTTCACTTGGCGAGGGGCCCGCCTGCTCCGGCCCCTCCTGCAGTTCACCCTGATCATGATGGCCTTTTACACAGGACTGTCGCGTGTGTCCGACCACAAGCACCATCCCAGCGATGTGCTTGCAGGATTTGCTCAAGGAGCCCTGGTGGCCTGCTGCATAGTGAGTAGCATCGTATTCTTACTACACACGCAGAGCCCCACACCGCCTGCTTGTTAAATGTTTCCAGCTCAGTGACCAAAGCTAGGGAGCTCTCAATCCTTTTTTCTGCTTGGTGTATAAAGAGTCACCCCGCCCCAGGACCCCTTCAGTAAAAGGAAAGTCATTTCTGTTTCCTTCCAGCCTGTGAGATTTCATTCAGCAGAGTCTGTGAGTCCTCAGGTTTGGGCTCATAGAGCATTGCAGCCAGAGATCTTTGATAGTGGCCACCTTGCTCACTTTATTGATGAGGACATTTAGGGTTTGAAAGGGGAAGAAACTTGCCCCAGGTCACATGTCAGGTGACCAGCAGAGTCTGGGTCCCTGACTCAGTGCTCACGTGCTGCTTTGGTGGACACTTAAAATTGAGTTGAATTCAGAATCTTGGGAAACTTCCACCGTTCCCAGTGTGACCTTTAGGGTGACTTGAACAGACCCTAAACGTGGTGTTGGCTAGACAAGAGGGGGCTTGGTCAAGGCTGAGCCTTACCTTGGCTAGCTAAAGGGCCTTGTAGATCAAGAGAAGGCCTTGTACCTAGAGAATGGCCTCGGGATGGGCCAGGTTCTCATTTGCCCCAGGTGACTGGGTTACCCTTTTCCCATATTTCATCCCTGACTCTGTGAATGTGCATAAGGCATCCCAGCTCTCTGAGCTTCTGTCCCCTCAAGAATCTCTGCTTTTCTTGCCTGCTAAAAGTTTTGAGGGGTTTATTCAGCACACATGGTGGAGCTCCTGCTCTGATACCGTGCCTTCCTGGGCCCCACTCTGGGGAGCTCACACCAGGCCAGTGAGAATCTCAGAGCACAGTCGTGGCTGGATGTTTAGGCACCACACATGCGGGTCGTGTTGTTCGTATAATCCTTGCCCACTCGCAGTAAGACTCATGAACAATAGAGATCTGGACGAGCCCTTGGCCTTTCTTCATTTCTAAACCTGGCTGCTGCCCCGAGTCTCCCTTTGATCACCTCTCCCACTCACTCCTGTGATGGCGTTTGTCACCCTGTGCTGACATTGCAGATGTGTGTATCCCTTTAGACTGTAAATTTCCCCGGGGACAGGGACCATAGATGACACACTGTTGTTCTCCCCGTCTCCCCAGTGCCTCTCAGGGAGTCTGCTCAGAGTAGATAAATCTTTAATCCACAGAAAGCTTGAGTCAATGGGTGGCTCTCCTCTTCCTTGAGAACACTACAAGAGACATTGTGTTGGAGGCAGAGGGATGAATAAGGCACGGGCCTTGCTTCCAAGGAAATCCCAGTCTACTCGCTCCCACCGCCTGGCCAGCACAGGGGTTAGAACACAGCACGGGGCTGTCATGGAGATACGGACAGGGTGCTTCGGCTACAGGCGAGGGCCGGGTGCAGGGGGAAGGAAGTGGGCAGGGAGTAGTGGCGATCGAGTGGGCACCAGGTAGAAAGTCGTGTCTGAGCTGCTTGTCAGTTTTGGCAGGAGAATCCTGGCCTAAGGACTTGCCTCTTTT